GGGATCTGTGCCAGAACGGAATCTGTAGCCGTTTGGACTTGCTTCATGAGTCGGTCTGTTTCGGCATTACCGCTATGGGACCTATAGAGGCACGCGTAGACCCGCGGATGGACATCGCCATCTACGCGCAGCCACAAAAGAGATAGGTACCTTCAAGAAGGCTGAGGCGACGAGAGCAGACATCCTCTCTGACGTACACGCATACCCCAGCCCGGGGCAAAAAGGAGTGTTCCAGTTTGTATCCGGGGCAGGATAAGTACGATGTGTCCGCCGGAGAGGATATCTGTGTCTCGGTAAGGAAAAGCAAGGCCGGCTTGGCCGTCCGGAGATGGTAGTGGACGGCCTCTAAGTTGGAATGGAGCCCCCTGATATTACAGAAGTCCACAGCGTGGGTGGAAGGGGGTGGTAGTGTCTGGCCTCGTTTGCCCCGGCCTTTAAAGCGAGCGAGCGGAAAGGTGCCCCCCCCAGAATACGCAGGGCGGCCCGCGCGCTTACCCCCAGACTCCAAGCGGGAGTTCAGGCGTAAGCGCGCGGAGGGGGATTCTCCAAAACCAGTGGTTTTGGTACCCCCCTGGGGTACTTTTTCTTTCAATCCCACTGCCATGCTGTATTAAAGGGGGGGTGGTTGGGCCTCCGAATTTTTTAACGATTTCCGAAAGTCGTCTTGCAATAAACGGAGTTTGCTTTTAATTAACTGGAACATAATAAAAGCTTCTTAAAAACTTTTTTAATTAATTTAATAACACATAACAGTGGTAGATCCAGCTTTAACATCTACGCACGAATTGTCTCGGCTCGCCCGGTGAAATACCACGACCACACAGAAGACAGGCCTCAAGTGGAAGCAATTCCGCGTATCGTCTGATGAGTCCCGAAGGTCTGATTTAGTCCTCTTTCCCTTCCCATCCTTTTTCTTATAAGGAAAGGATGGGAAGTGGAAGTAGACTTTCCGGATGAGAAGAAGCATGGAAAGGGAAAATATTTTCTTTCTGTGCATCCTCTCCTCCGTGGTAGGCAACGCATATGCAATTGCGTATGTCTATGGGCAACGGTCACTTCGCTATTTCAGCGATTTCAGGTGACCGCTCGATCGTTTGCCCGCACCTTATGATATAAAAAAAATATGTCTGACAGTATTAATATAAAAATATATTGCTAAAATGTTTACTAAAGTTATTAATATAATCGAATGAGAAGCGTTAAATATTTTTATCTTAACGTAAACTTTGACATACTAGTAACTTACTCGATTTTAGCTTATAGTCGTCAAGATCCCGTCACCTCCTGTTTTCGCCAATAGTTCATTAACACGAAGATAAAATGTGCTAAATATATTTTTTATTTGTTCACTTGTTGTCGACGAATTATCGTAATTACCTATACAAATACGCAAGTATATTTATCTAAATGCAATGACATTTCGTTGGACTGTTTAGAGGCAAATGACATTCTTAGGTTAATCCATTGAACTGCGTTTATGTTATTGTATTATACATAGGTAAAGAAAAATAAACACCCGAGTACATAAATCTTACTAATTATAAATGCGAATGTTTGTATGGATGTTTGTTTGAATTTATCTCCAGAAATGCTGCATAAATCTCGCTGAAATCTGGCAAAGATGTAGACCAGTGGTTCTCAAACTTATTTTGTCTACTGCCCACTTTGAGAATATATATATTTTTAGCGTCCCCATATTTTCACATATTTAAAAACCACTATAAATTCAAATTAAATTATTTAATTACAGTGACCTATATATGTATATTAACGGAGAATTGTAAAGGAAACTTTTACTATAACCCGCAACTTGATACCTGTAGCGCCCACAAGGGGGCGTTATCGCACACTTTGGGAAAGATTGATGTAGAGCCATAGTCTGGAAGAACGCATAGGCTCCTAATTTATTTTTTAATACCGCGCGGACGATGTCGCGGTCAACAGTTTAAATAACTGTTTAAAGTTCTAATTTAAAAAACTTTTTTACAATGTTCAAGACATCAGTGTACTTAGGAACTAAAGATTTTTAGAATCAACCCAAGCAAATTATCACACCCTTGTAAATTTTTTGGCTACTTTTTTCTCTAACAGATAATATAAGATGAAACTATATTATATTATTATATGTAAGGTAAATTAATTAATTATTTCGTCATTATAATTAAAAAAAAAACAAAATCTCGTGCCACCTCTTACAACTTAACAATTGCGCAATTTGTGTGCGATTTAAATTAATTTAGGCCAATTATCTCCTGTCAGAGGTCAAGTGTGAAGTGTCGCAAGCTGTCACGGTGACTGGAAGTGCTTCAACTGTCAGCAAGATATAACGTGACAGGCTCAACACAACACGTACACCTAGCGTGGTAGACACCTCTTTCATCATAATTAACCTGCAACAAGTTGCTACAAGAAAACCTATGTATTCTCGCAAATGTCCAACGGATTTATACAACTTCGACTAAATCTTACTAATATTACAAATGCGAATGTTTAGATTGATGTTTGTTAGAAGGTATCTCTAGAACCGCTTCATGGATTACGTTGAAATTTGGTACAGAGTAACACAGTTTAGAACACAGTTTGGAAAAATCCATGGGGGTTTTTTATTCCGCGGAAACGAAGTCGCGGGCAACAGCTAGTTGTTTATGGTTCATCTACAAGTATGTCTTACAACTTCAACAATAAGAAAGCAGCTGTTTGTTGTAAGTTATACGAGTAGTTTAAAGTACTCAATATAAATGATGGTCCTTCGAGGCGGATTTGTGTGAAATAATCGGGAATAAAATGCAGTTTGCAATAAACCTGCATAGCATAGCCATGATTCATATTTGCAAATTGAATATGCAAATTCCTTATTACTCATAATATAATAAAAAACGACAACATAAACGCGGAAAGAAGGCGCTCGCTTATCTTAATATGAATTCGCAAATCATCTCCGGTAAAAATATACATAATATCAGCGTGGTGGCCACGTGGCCACTGGCCGATAACGATTGATAACAGGTTTTTTTTTTGTGCTAACCATTTCTTAGATATGATTATTTAAACGGGAAGTTAGAAGTGGAAATTTTGGACTGGATTATATTAGAAAAAGAACCTGAATTACGACAGATTACTGTTAATCCTAGCTGATAAATGACGTGAACAAGTGACGAGAGATTTGCATTGCTTATTATCTTATCTATACATCGTCATGTTAAAACGATCATCGAAAATATACAGTAAATGTCGTAATTGACACAACTTGCATATAACTGTGAAGTAATTCAAAGATATGTGTGAAGTTAACCCGCATTGGACAAACGTGGTTGACTATTGCCTAGTAACCCTTAGGGTAAGCACAGGATACTATGTCCCTTGGTTCTAAGCATGCCAATTTTCAGCCAAATCGGTTTAGCCGTTATTGAGATGTAAATAATGAAACTAATACGATATTTTTCATGTAATATATATAAGATTGTAGTCATTCCTTTTTTGTATAACGGAGTTCGATCAATTTGAATGCCATTTAATATTTATGATAAAAATTACAAAAAAATGTTATATTCACGATTTGCTGAGATAAAAAGGTTTTATTGATATGATGGTATTTAAATTATTACACAAGTAAGGTATTATTATTATTCCTAATAAATGATCACGTCTTCTAGATATTACGTTCTAATTATGTTGATTTTAATTTCATAGAATTGTTTTAACAAAATACATATGTTATTTAATCGGGAAAGTCCTGTGTAAAGTGGATACACGAGGAATGGATTTATTTCATGCCTTATCGATGCGTATAATCCTGCTGACATCATTCATATTCTGATTATATCAAGTTTTTTATATCATAAATTGGTAAACGAACAAGCGCCTACCTTAATCCGCCTAAACAACGAAGCAACCACTGTCCATAGACAAATACAGATGCATTGCTTGACTTTAATCGACGAAGGAGGAGACGTACAGAAAGAGGATAGTTTCTCCTTCCCACCACCGTCTAATCGACTTTCCCTTCCTATCCTTTCCATATAAATGTGACTGTGTGCGCCTGTCATCTGTTTGTTCCTCTGTTTGTATTGTCTGTGTGTTTGTTGAACATGCAATTGGTGTACCTTTTTAATAAATAAATAAATAAGAAAAGAGTCGATAAGGAAAGGCGACTAACATTAGACTTCCGGGACGCACACTCATCAGACTGCACGCGGAATATCTTCCACTTGACGCCTGTCTTCTGTGTGCTCGTGGTATTGCACCGGTGGAGTTATTGTTGTTGTTATTATATTTGTTGCTTGTAACAACATTCAACATGTTCTCAGGTGACTGATAAGTGAAGGAAAACGAGCAGGTTTTTTCCTTTAAAAGTTCAAAGGGCGTACATTATCATCTCTCTCTAGGACATCGAACCTATTCACTGATATATATTTTCACAAATAGTACAGCTAACAACAAACAAATGAGTCAATATCGCACAAACACCTGATTTTTTTTTAATTTTAATATTAGCATTTGTTTTTTAATAATATATTTTTTAGGGTTCCGTATCATATAGGAAAAAAAACGGAATCCTTATAGGATCACTTTGTTGTCCGTCCGTCTGTCTATCATGACCCTTTTTTAAATGTTGGTGAGCTTAAAATTAGTTATAATAGTTGTATGGTTCGAACCCACAACCGTTAGATAGATAGTCCGCACCCTTGATCTTAACTTGTACTGATACGAAAGGAGTAAGTTTTCTTTTTAATTTAAAATGTAACCATCGAGAGATTATGAATTGTCTTGGTAATATTACTGATAAACTGATGGAAGATTATTAGCTCGAATTTCTCGCATTTAGTCCTTTCGGAAAAATCTGAGAGTATTTTTTTTTATAATTTAATTGATAAAATTACGAGTAAAATCTAGACTTTGTCATAAATTATTTACTTACGTAAAACATACATTTTCGAACATTATAGGGTCTCCATCTTTAATATATTTTTATTATGGTTCGAATATGAAATAAAACAATGTTTATTTTTATAAAACCCCATTTATTCTTATTCCCTATTGATACCGCCTGCAGACATCACTGTACATATTTGCTCAAACAAAAATATCAGGCGATTTCATAAATAAATTATATGCACATTCTAGAATCGTCGCAATATAACAACCTCGATATCTTACCTAAGTAATACGAAAAAATATTAAAAACTTTTGTAAAACTATCATGATTCAAAAATTCATAATTCAAAATTAAAAAATGTCAAACGTCATTGTTTTTTAATTTTTAACAATACTAGCAATAAATCGTGTCTGTTATTTTGTGACAACTCTAAACGTACATGGAATTATTATGTAAAAAATAATAAAAAGTCAACAGCCATATTAGAAATCTCATCACAAAATCTAGCTTTAAAAATATACGATAAACTAAAACAGGCGCCTAGTGGATTGTGATAGCAAAGGTTTGTAATAATTACATTGCTAATTATCACTCAAATATTTCAAAATCTATTAAAAAGAAAATACGAAAGGTAAAAAAATGTAAACCTTTATGTTTATTAAGCCCTCATTATTTTTAATTACGTGATTTTTAGACAAAACCTAAACATAAATAAAAATATCAATTGCAAAATGATTCCCAGTAGTAACTAGACGCCTTTATAATCACTTAGCCTTAAAATTAAAAGAAAGTATAAAACAAACATTCACAATACAATACAATAAAATATCACATAAGAAATGTATTTTTACAAAACTAAATAACTGGTATACGAAATACAAATCTCAAAAATTGCCGCCATTCTTGCGACTAACTAAAAAAAAACTGTCAAAAATAACCTAAACCAAGTGTCAAAATGACATCCACGACGGAATGACAGCCTCTGAATGACAGTTGTAACTTAATCTGGCAATAATTATATTTAAAAAAATCTAACTTATATAATTAACGTTGAAATCACACTTAAAAAAAATTAAATCACAATTAAATTTTAAACCCGTTAATATTACGATAAAAAAATACATAATCTGTGGTCCAATAGAGATACTCAAAAAGCAATTTCAAATTAAAAAAAAAACTTATTACTTACAGAGGGAATTGGAAATTCTTAATTATTGTTAGGTAAATTGTATTTCAAACTATATTTACAGTATGATAAAATAAAAACTGTTTTGTATCATCATCATCAGCTCACTTTACGTCCCCACCGAGGGGCTCGGAGCCTACCTTAAGGGTGATTAGGCCATAGTCAAGTTTTGTATACCATTTGGTAACTAAAGTTGAATTAAATTCAGAATATTAAAAAATCTTACTTTATAAAAGTAATACCTAACTAATATTTCCTAGACTCTGTCTTAGACATATTTAGACAAAAAAAAAACCTATTTGTCATACAAAATTATACAGATTTGCATTTGACACTTTTATTACTTGCCTTTCTTTAGTATTGCCAGTAGAGTGACAACAATATTAGCAATTATCCTTTTCTAGTGTCACTGCTCCCCCCCACTGTCAGGGGGGCTGGAGGTAGGTTCGGAGGAGATGGAGGGGGGTCCGGGGGTAGGTATGGGGGCGTCTTTATCCAGAGTTCTGAAGGACCAATTTCCAGCTCCGTCAAATTCCAACACGTGGGTGTGGTATTTCCTATAAACAAACAAACAAAAAACAGTTAATACTTTCAAGAACAAAACAAACAAAAAGTTTAGTAGTAACTAATGAAAAAGAAGTTACATTAAGGCTAATCGTGGGTTTCCGAGACCGAAATCCCCGTGTATATATTGTTATCTCAGTTATGTCAAAAAGAATGACAGGGATGATGGTATGTTTTATGATTATGAGAGGAGTCTCAGAAACCCACGATAAGAATATCAATTGAATGACATTAAATATACATATACATATCCACAAAAAGTTTTACTTTCAGAGTCAATTAAGTAAAAAAAAATTAAATATTTAAGAAAAAACTTACTCCAAATAGAAGAATAATTTATGAAACTAGTGTGAATAAATCAATCAGACAACAGAGGTCATAAGTTCCTATAAATATGAGTTATCGTCTCCTTCGCTTCCGTCTCCCCCCCTGGTAACTCACCAGACACTAGGGCGATGCGTGATGGAGAGCAGGGTGATGCCGCAGCGCACCGCCTCCTCGTACATCACCAGCTCCGTCTCCAGAGACACCGCGCTCGTGCACTCATCCAGCAACGCGTACACCGGCCTGTGTACAAATTTGTTTGTTTGTATGTCTTAAATATTTAGAGATTAACCGTTGATTTTTGAGACCAATTTCTATATAAAACATGTAGTCATTCCTGTTTAAAACAGATATATTTTAAATGAAGCTTTTGGTCTCAGAAATCCACTGTAATAATTTTATTACTATGGTGATTTTGAATACGGAATTGTAGGTTTAGACAAGTCTTTCCCATAGTGTGGGACAACGCCCCCTTGTAGACGCTGCAGGTCTCAAGTTGCGGGTTATAGTAAAAGTTTCCTTTACAATTCTCCGTTAATATACATATATAGGTCACTATAATTGAATAATTTAATTTGAAGTTATAGTGGTTTTTAAATATGTGAAAATATGGGGGCGCTAAAAAAATTATTCTCAAAGTGGGCAGTAGACAAAATAAATTTGGGAACCACTGGTTTAGATCAATCAGGATATGTCTTCCTGTAGGTATAAGTGTAGTTAAATTATGACAGCTCACTAGCGCCCCCCAGTCTACGTCGAAAACTGCACAAGATCGTCTTTGTATTACAAATGCGAATGTTTGGATGGATGGATGTTTGTTAATAAATATAAATATAATATAAATCTCCAGAATGGCTGAACGAATCTCGCTAAAATTTGGCATACATCTAGAATATAGTCTGAACGAAGACATAATTTTTTTAATTTCTTTTCGTCGTTACGTCTTTATTTATGATTTATAATTTTATAACTACAGCAACGACAGACTTTTGATCCGTACTCTTTTAAGGGTTCCGTACCTCATAGGAAAAACACGGAACCCTTATAGGATCACTTTGTTGTCCGTCCGTCTGTCAAGACCCTTTTTTTCAAAAACGCGTGAAGGTATTAAGCTGGAATTTATTGTACATAGTCCTTATGCTTATTAACCATAGTGATTTTTTTTATTTAATTATAAAATCTGTGGTGAGGTGGATGTATGGAGGTGGATGTATGGAGGTAGATGTATGGAGGTAGATGACCTGTGGTAGAACATCCTGGCCATGGCGAGGCGCTGCTTCTCCCCGCCGGAGAGCGTGGAGGTAGATGTATGGAGGTGGATCACCTGTGGTAGAACATCCTGGCCATGGCGAGGCGCTGCTTCTCCCCGCCGGAGAGCGTGGTGGTAGATGTATGGAGGTGGATGTATGGAGGTAGATGTATGGAGGTGGATCACCTGTGGTAGAACATCCTGGCCATGGCGAGGCGCTGCTTCTCCCCGCCGGAGAGCGTGGCGGTAGATGTATGGAGGTGGATGTATGGAGGTGGATGTATGGAGGTAGATGTATGGAGGTGGATCACCTGTGGTAGAACATCCTGGCCATGGCGAGGCGCTGCTTCTCCCCGCCGGAGAGCGTGGC